AATCCCCAACACTAATTTAATTGGCTTGATTTTTAGACTTTTTCCTCAAAGGATTCACATGTCTTAAAAGCATGCTCAATGGGAATGTGGTTATAAATTTTTACCTAATACTTTAGGAGGAGACTGCAGAGTGGTGCCAACTGAACATTACCTCACATTCACTCCCTGATGAATCATTCACTTTAGCCCTGTCATAACTATAAAGGGAAGGGTAACAGCTCTCCTGTGTACAGTATTCTAAAATCCCTCCTGGCCAGAGACTCCAAAATCCTTTTACCTGTAAAGGGTTAAGAAGCTCAGGTAACCTGGCTGACACCTGACCCAAAGGACCAATAAGGGGACAAGATACTTTCAAATCTTGGGTGGGGGAAGGCTTTTGTTTGTGCTCTTTGTTTGGGAAGTCGTTCGCTCTTGGGACTGAGAGGGACCAGACATCAATCCAGGTTCTCCACATCTTTCTAAACAAGTCTCTCATATTTCAAACTTGTAAGTAAACAGCCAGGCAAGGTGTGTTAGTTTAACTTTGTTTTCTCAACTTATAAATGTACCTTTTACTAGAGTGTTTATCTCTGTTTGCTGTACTTTGAACCTGAGGCTAGAGGGGGGTCCTCTGAGCTCTAAGTTTGATTACCCTGTAAAGTTATTTTCCATACTGATTTTACAGAGATGATTTTTACCTTTCTTCTTTAATTAAAAGCCTTCTTTTTAAAAACCTGATTGATTTTTCCTTGTTTTTAGATCCAAGGGGGGTGGATCTTGATCCACCAGGAGTGGGTGGGAGGAAGGAAGGGGGATGGTTAATTTCTCCTTGCTTTAAGATCCAAGAAGTTTGGATCTGTATTCACCAGGGAATTGGTGAAGAGTTTCTCAAGGCTTCCCAGGGAAGGGAACTAGCTTTGGGAATGGTGGCAGCGGACCAGATCTAAGCTGGTAGTTAAGCTTAGAAGTTTTCATGCAGGCCCCCACATTTGTACCCTAAAGTTCAGAGTGGGGAAGCAGCCTTGACAAGCCCCCTGCGTGATGTCTTTCTACAGGGTCAAGATGCCCCAGTCAGCCCGTGCTCCACTCAAGATGTTTTACACGTGTTGTTTGCTTTCAAGGGGACATATTTGCTGATGCAAAGATCAGTATTCATCATACACGCAGCATGGAACCAGTCAGTTTCACTTCTGGCATCTGCCTGATGCTAAGAAAAGGATTCTTCTCCCAGAATCCTCTTTCACAGTTCAGTCATGTCAAGCCATGTTGTCACCGTTCATTCAGTACGGTCACACCAGTATGGCACCATCCCAACACTCAATACTGTACTGTACACGATATTCAAAAAATAGACACACAAGTGTATTTTGTAAGAGCAGAGTCTTACATTATTAATCCCTCACCACAGCTTGTGTTATTATAGCTTCACTGAGAAGTGGAGTGAGACCACCAGGTTTTTGGTGTTTTTTTAAAGAGATGTGTATTAAATAAATTCTACTGTGCTCAGTTTTTCAGGTGTGCAGTGGCTCACTTCTAAAGGTTCAGTTCTTAGGTCCATAAGACAAACAGGAACCAGCAATCAGCATACTCATTGAAAATTAAGATTTGTGTGGCATGGATTTAACACCGCAGACCGCGAGTGCATGAAGTAAAGGAAAAAACTGACACACCCTATTTCAAAGACACTGTATTGTGCAGGAAAGCTTTCAGCATCACTGCACCATTACGCTTCCCACTGAGAGTAACTTTAGCACTGGCTGAAAATGAATATAGGGCTCAGGAAAGATGTAGGGGATTAGTAAAACTATGTAGCATTCCATTATATTTCTGGGGTACAAGTAAACCTTAACTCAGACTAGACACACAGCTGAGAGATGCTTGGATGAGAGCCAAACCCTTTGTACAACAGACCTTTTTCTATAACCACCTTTATTAATTTATTTATTTTAAGTTAGAGAATACCTTTTACTGAACTAACCAAAAGCACAGAGGATGTTGCTACTTAGAATCATGCTCTTCAGGCTACAGAAAACAAGCACTGTAGAAACAGACACAGGCATGAATTCAGACCAAATTCAATTAAAATAAAGTAGAAGGGTCAGCAGAGAAGAGTTAAAATAAATCAAATACAGCTGTAGCCTGACATGCCTCCTCTTGACAGCTGCCAGAATTACTATGACAGGAGGCTTTACTGAAACCCTTTAAGGTGAAAAAACCTAGGTTGTTTTGATATAAAATAGCAGTTGCTCCTCAATGATTTTTAAATTTTCCTTGTTTTATAAAACAGATGCTCCGGGACGCTCTAGCATCCTTAAAGGCCCCAACAGAGCAACCTTCCTTCTGCTAAGGACTTGGATTCAGCTATTTGAAGAGTTTGTGCTGTTCAGTCGGTTGTCTAAACATTGTTGGGGATAAGGGGTCTTGTTCAAAGGCAGCGCAACTATGACACCCCCACAAAGCAAATGAGCATGCTGCCCTCAGCACTCCCACACCCTGCCTCGTCAGCAGAGATCAAATCCCTGCACGGGATCAAGTGTTCCCTTCCCAATGGGTTTTGTGCTCCATTCCCTCTGATAAGTAATTCTTTCTGTCCAGGTTTGCAGTTAGACTAAAGGTTTGGACTAATGGAGAAGCCACCTAGCATTCTATTACATAGTTATTTTAACCCTACTGTTAAGATTTGTTTCAAAACCTACTATGAGGTATATAAAACCAACAATATTTATCTATAAAAGCACAAATTAGTAATAAAAATTCCTACCATTTTCACCTTGTAGGTATTCTCAGTAAGCCCTCCAAACAAGATCTCAGAAAGCTAAATAAAAAAACATTTTAAGAATATTCTTTGGAAACTGAAGGGAAATCCCATTTGGAAGAGGAATAATCTTGTTAGATAGATATAATCAATAGTATCATAAAAGCTACTGGGAACTGATAGTCTTGAACCAACAAAACTACAGCAAAATGTAATACATTTATCTAACACCACACAGCACCACAGGAGCCAACAAAAATGATTCCCTCTAAAAGCAACACCAAGTTTGAATATTGTCCCTGCCAATGTATTTACATTGACTT